GAATTCCCCCATGTCTTTTTGCCAGACATCGTTAGGAGGAGTAGGAACTTGTCCAAACAGTCAAGGAGGATCGGGTGAACTATCCACACTGAGTGGTGGTAGTGGCGGTGGCGGTGGTTGTAACAGTACCAGTAACAATAACAACGTACTCAACATGTTTATCAAACCGGAACAAACAGCCCCGTATCCCACATCTGTTTGCATTCCATCCAGCCCCGGAATGCCCTGCTCTTCGGGAACAGCACCCACAATGCCCCGTATTGATCCAAACGATCATTACACATTAATCTCACATCATCGTCATCAATCCCCTCGATATTTGACACATGCCTCGTCCTATTCGCTTCCCGTCTGTACGGCTAGTAGAACACATGTGGATCAACCGCAACACATAACCACGACCACTACTTCTACCACGACTTGCGCGACTACGAATAGCCACAACACAAACCATTCGAATGATGACATCACTTTCGGATTGCATGNACGCGTTACCTAACCGGACAAATGATCAGTCTGACTCCACCAAGTCACTTGGACGGGGCAAACGGATCGGGACAAAAATTAGATCCGTATTTGCCACAACACCACTCGCACCCACATCCGAATCAACATACACACCAACCGTATCATACGGCACACCATCCTTCGAATTTGATACCCAGCACGGCAACCAACGTGCATCGATCCGGTCTGGGATTGGGTGCATGCACCTTGGCTGCAATGGCAGCTGCGGCCACCGTGGGTCCGATCGCATTGAGCGCCCAATCAAACTGTGTCCTATTTCCCCGAACTACGTGTAATTTGGGAGCAAAAGATAGACGACCGTGTGATATCTGCGGGGATGTATCGGCTGGTTTTCATTGCAATGCCTACGTGTGTGAAGCGTGCAAAGTAAGTCTGGTGTGACTTTTGTCCGCTGTCACGTGGTACACACTCTCTTATTTTTAAACGAACCGTAAACTCTGTGTTATTTAATATGATTCAACTTCAGTGTGCAAATAAGCCTAAAAATGCCACGTTTAATTAAGCCCCCCCCCGTAGCAAAATCAATCAATCAACGATTGGTCCGGTAGAAGAGGATTATTTTAATCGTGCTCAGTATCACATCTCGAACGTATTAATCAAATGCATCCAGCTAAACCATGTTTAAACTGGATAAATAAGTGCAACGTTCACCCCATCCCACCCCCTCGTTTGTGGAGCTGGGAAACTGGATGTGAAAATGTTTCATCCCTACTCGGGGTCCAATACCCCCATTGTTATCATTCTATTTCACCAGTAAACTACCCGGAAGTCCCTCGATCACAGTCACATTCAATTAGGATTCAGACACGGATAAAGCAAAATTCAGTGAATATGTTATATCGGAATCTTCTTCGACCCTTGCCCCCTTGTTCTAATTGTATTGGTCAGAAAGAACTCTGAAGTCACCGGACCGGAACAGGATGATTGTAATTTTAGCGCATCAATTTACAAGAAAGAAAAAAACAAAGTGCAAATCGATAACACACTTTAGAATAATTAATATTAACGAAGTCGATGCATAAACTGACCAATCAAGTCTGCTCTAACCAGCGCGCTAGGAGAGGGAGAGAGCCGGTATCAACTACCTGATTCACTGCAGCCTGCTTTGAAACCTCACTGCAGTTTGAAATAGGTGGCAAATTATTCTTATCTCACCAGTTGCTTACATTTAATGATGGAACAGATCAGTTAAACATGTGGTTTACACAGTTAGTTTGTTGCTGCCTAAACACCTGCCCCAGTGATTTATATATCTACTTGTGCAGCTTACCATGGACGTGAAAAGATCGGTTAGAATGGGGGCGGGGGGGCGGGGTTACTTCATTTTGAGCTTAGTTCTTCCAAATTTCGGTTGCTGGTTTCTTATTCCCCCGTGTTTAGAAGCATCTGGTTTGAAACAGTCAATATTGATTATGCGTCCAATCAATTGAATTACGACAATAGCGGGCAATTTTTTCCCCACACTACACATCGGACAATTGTACCCGGTCAAGGATAGCCTCTCGATAGAGTGAACCCAGTTCGTTTGTGCTAGGTCAGATGAACTTATCTTTGCGGTCTTCATCTGTAGCTTTAGTACAACTGTCGCATGTCAACAAGCGACTACTTTTATCGGGGCTTATGAATTGAACGAGGTAGTTGTGCGACACGTCAAACTACTCATTACTTGTTCAATCTAGGAGGAAACTTGATGTATGGATTAAGTATAAATTGATTAACTGATCACATGATATAATCCCCTAGGGTGCGAAGATTGAGGCATCCGTGTTATACTGCCTCCACCCCTATCCCGCTGCTAGAATTCTTCCAAAGATATACTCGCCCATTCGGACAATAACCGGAAGTCTAGAATGTTTTTGGATTCATGCCCTTCTTGCTTCTGTCCATTGTTGTTTCCAGGTTTCTTTAGTCGGACGAAACAAGTGACTTGAGCAAACATTTCTCAATGATTGTCATATACTAACATGCAATTCTTTTTCCATTTACAACGGTATCGGGTTGTTATTAAATTGTGCTCCCCTAATATTTTGATAATCATTAAACATTAAAATGCGAAGTTTAAAGATCCTATGAAATGATGCCCCATGTATATTTGTAAATTGATCCAGCCAATTTCCAAGAGAACCTCCACTGCCCTAAGCAATCATCATGAGTTTGAATAGAGTTCACATGGAGCAAATAAAAACGAATCGTGGCCACACAGGTACCAGTCAGCTTTACTGTCTACGTGCCCAACCAAGCAACCATATTAGCTCGGCTTAACTATGTTTCTCAAGGTCATCATCCAGAAGGGACGACGGATGATGCATCGATCTGTTCGAATCGGACCAGAGTATCGAAATGGTGTGGTCACTGAAACGTTCTTTACGTTCACGACGTTTGTATATAAGCAAGTGGGACGAGGTTTTTCTGTTTGTCTGTCTATCTTGTGTTTCCGTTTGTCTGTCCACATGTCAGATGATTTGGGAACTGCGTTTAGCCCGCTATGTGTGTGCATATATATATTGTGGAAACATGGGAACAGAATGTCTGTTAAACTGTTGCGATTGTTTCTCCCACCACACCAACAACAGCTCAATTTGGGAGCCGTTCGCCAGACAATTTTCCACGGACCACCCAGCCCTCTCTTCCCGACATCCGAGCACATTCGAAATTCGAAGGGGAATGTAACAAACTGTGATACTGAGGGATTTTCGTTTCTCTCATTCACATCCTCATCATCCGTGTTCCCTTTCGCACGAAGCTTGCCCCTCCGCACGGTTATCTGAGCCCGACTACCCCCGTCCCCCTCCCCCTGGGCCCGACTACCCAATCTCTTCCACAAAACTCCCATTCATATAGGGCGCATCCCGCTGTGTCCGTCATGTTGCATCGTGTATGCGCCTGTGAGTGTGTGCACGCGCGCGCGTGAGTGCAATCGTTTTACCGACACTGGAGTAGGTTTTGTTAGACTTGAACTATTTTCGCTTGGCTAGCAATCCTGTTTTTCTTTTTCGTGATTTACGTGAGAGCATGTCTGTAGTCAAATGATCAGTGCAGGGAATTCAACCAATCACACGAGCAGATCCGTCACCGGTGGGCATACATCAGTTGTGTAGTTGAAGCGCTATAGTTCAATGTACAAGGGAATATAACCATACGGTGATTGGGTCCAAATGAAAATCAAGCCCAACAAACCATTAGTGATCATATCATCTCATATCATCCGACCACACTGATGACATAAGTTACGTTTGCCAAAATATTGTGAATGACGGTCTCCGTTCGTCTCAGTGATATAGGTCAAACGGCCACAATCGGAATGGTACTTAAGATGTGTAAGATTTTCGCATAACTTCGAAAGTACCTGACTGATCCTACATATTACCTCACAGAAGGCCGGAAACACTAGCATTTGAACCCGGACACGAGTGATTTCTCTTCCGAAGCGATAAGGGAAACGGTTATTCACATTCTTCACAAGAGAAAAAGCTTTTTCGTTGTCTATCAGTTACTGTTGGTAATCACCGGTAGTTTTTCACTGCGAATTCCAGCGATATTAGTCCCGGAACATCACTTGATAAACAAATTAATCAACTGACTTTAGCCGCTAATTTCAGCCCACATGATTCGTTATGTCCTTTTCTTGTAACAGCTTGCAGGTACTCAACGAACTCGTGAGACACCAGGACTTCTGTCAGACCTCCTCCTCTCAACTTTTAACTATTTAGGCCCCATGCAGGAATTCCCAAAATGAGCGACGGTTGGAGGCGTATCGATTGTTAGGCATTCGGACTTGGGCTGAAAAAATGATGCAAACATTCAGTTACAAAAATGAAGGAAAGATAAGACAGACCGTGCGGGCCCACTTTCTTCGTGCATCATGTGCCCTCGCATATTCTTCCGCATTTGAACCAGTCACTTCAGTGTGCAATCGATCAACTTGTGAAATAGATCACTTTTGTCGGTCTTCTCAAGTACAAGCCTCATTCTAATCTCCACGGGCCACTCTCGGGACTACTGGTTTACCTCTGACTTCAACAGATAGAAAACATCTGGCATTGAATTCCAGTTTGGAATTTGCCACTTTAAATGAGGATACAATAAATGTCGCAATATATCTCATTCACTTCATTTCTGTGACTAACTTGTAACAGGTAGGCTGGAGTTTCCATAGTCCAACTGGCCTGACCACAAAACACTACAAACGCCTCCTGTTCCGGCTGGAGGGGTTGGGATCGAAATAGCAGGAGTACCCGCAGCCAATCACAGACGCTGTCAACGCACAGCTAGGAGGCACTTCGAACCAATGGATTCTGTGTGGATCTGGCGGGACGAGAGGATGATAAAATAACCGACGACAAAGGTGATCCACAAACAATCATGGACTAAAAGGTCTAGTTGGACATGCACATCACTCATCCTCAACTCAAAACGGTCATGGGGAGCTCAGTATGCGTTCCTTAGCAATGCTGCATTTTTCAAGAACTGCAATCAGCAATAAAATTTGTGAGAGCATTTGAGATCACAAGTGAAATCTCATTAATCGGTATCCTGGTAATGAGACATGCTAAAACACCTCTGAAAATCATTCACTACGTCAGCATTATCGTATTCAGTCGGACTGTGGAAGTACGTAGGCTAACAATACTAACCATAAACGTCCATTCGGCTAGACTTGAGTATAGCGACTGATTCTATGCAATGACAAAAACGTTACACACTAATTATTTTCTTGGGTTTGTGATCCGCTGAAGTCGTATCACACACGATCGTCTTTCATAATCATTAATTCACCAAGTTTGTGCAAATCGCACAGCCTCCTCTTGCTGTGTCAAAGCTGAGACATGAAGACTCACCTTGCGAGATATTCATTGCATTTTTTGTGGGGACGATTGAAAAGGGCTTTGTATCACCATCTGTTGAGTGGTATCATTTCCATCCAATCGTTCGACTGGAACACTTGCTTCAAAGCGTTCTTAAACGTGGAATACTGTTTCCCTAAAACGATTTGTGGACATCTGACGCATAAGAAGTGGTTTTAGTAAATGCCATCCTAATCAACTAGAAAAACCGTTGTCGACATACACAAAACCCTCCCCCGATAAATGTGTTTTGACAATTAAATTGATGCCCTCTTTGAACTCACACACGCATTGAATGAATCTAATGATCTAAATCCTGTATCATAAAGAAGTGTGTTGTCGCACTGACTCATGTGCCTTGGGATCTCTTCACCCTATATTTTACTGAAACGATGATGACAAATTTTTGGCAAGCTTCTAGTATCACCTTGGTTGACAAAATACGTACCTTAACATCTTGTCGCACAACAAGTATCTCATCAAA